TATGAAATGATTTCTACGTTCTCTGACTTTCACACATTTTTTGTTTAAAAACTGTTTCATCTTCTCCATAGATGGACAGTCATGCACAAAACCGAAATAGGAAGTGGACGAAAAACTCTTCTCTGAAGGACCACTGATCTTTTAGGTTTTTCAGCTGAGAGCGACTGGTTGAAATAAAATAGTGGATATGCCCCCTTTTATCCAAACATGGTCAAAAGTTGTATCATTTCTAACCTGTTCCCCAGTTGTACAGTCGTGCATTAAAAACAAGAGAAAAGTAGTAGGCGAAACAATCTTCCCTGAGAGACCGACCCCTGATCCTTTGTTTTACACCTGAGAACGACTGATTTATATGAAATGTTGTCTGGGTGCTCTGATGTTCATACACGGTCAAAAGCTGTCTCATCTGCAAACTGGTCCATAGTTGAACAGTACAAAAAAAGAGTTAAGTAGTAGATGCAAATCTCTTCCCTGTGGATTCGCTGACCCATTGCGTTTTCCACCTACCTAAGAGCGACTGGCTAATATGAAATTATGTCGAGATGCTCTGATATCCATACATACCAATCCTGAAGCGAAAGTATGGTGGTATAAGACCAAACTGCGGGGTAGAAGAACGCGTTTAAAAATGTGCAAACTATCGATGTATCGGGTTGTCCGGAAAATAATGCAGGATTTTAAGTTTTCATTAAAAAAAATCTATATAAAATATTCTGTTTACGTTTACAGGATTACTCATTNTTATTTTGATTAAAGAACATTGCTTTAAAGTAACTAGTTTCTTTTTTTTTGTTTAATACCAAAATCCTGCATTATTTTCCGGACAACCCAATAGAAGGGGTCAATTACACATGTCATGTCGGTTTAACTGTGGGTCTACTAGTTTGCGTGGCATATATCTGTAGGGAAGCGAACAATGATTCTACGAGGAGCACTATGTCAGCATTAGTTAGACCACCGTTTTATGAGTCACAGTTTCCAAAAATGACTGTACTATAAAGTCATTCCTAGACCCATATTTGTATGTGAACGATTTATAGCTACTTGGTCTGGAATGAAATATAATCAACAAGGTCACGTTAGTTCAATTTTCGCACATTACTGCACAACATGTAATAGTCAACCAAAGCATTCAAATTGGCGTTTCCGCATAATTCGACGAAAATGTAGGGTATCTGTCTTTTTGCAGAGTTCCTGGTTTGATGTTATGAGAGAATCATTGACTGTTGCCATTTCCATGTCATTGTGTAGGTCTGTTGTTAACTACGGGTGATCAGTCGTTGAATTCAGTTTTGAATGGCATGGATCAGAAGCTGATTTTCGAGATTTAAAATTGTACTGGATTTCGATTTTTATTTTGGGCCCTGATCTTAATTACCTTGTAGCTAACAAATTCTTTGTCTTATTTTGCTCATATTGCATTGTCTCGTTGGTCTATCGGTTTTGTTGCCCACCGGGCCTTATATTTAGCTTCATCGTGTTGTTTTCTTTTTGTTTGGGGAATGCTGTACATAAACGATGCAAAGAAGCGGTACCGGTGGCTTGAGATACGCCTTCCTGCATGACATGTTCTAAGGATAATGCCTGATAGACCTTGAAATAACGCGTCGACAGAAAAGATTGAACGAGTCTGTACCTGTAGGATTTGAGTTAAACTTTTCAAGCGAAACGAACCTACAAAAGCAATTCTGCGAACAATTATTACACGACTTCATTTGTGTGAGCAAGTGGGCGAGTTTAGACGAAATCCCACTTAGAACCAGTCCAGGCCTTTGACAAAACAAGCAAAATGTCCTACTTTTTATGCAAAATAATGATCACACTTTAACTGAAATGATTTTAAGTTTTAAATGGCAGGCCGTGAAAATGAGATCGTTCGCCATTTTTCTCAGGTCAAGTTCTATTGTTGTTCTTTTAACGCTAATTCGGCCTCATTATCAATGATAAATCAGAAAGATTTATACATAAACCAAAGGGGTCTCTTTTACCCAAAATAGGATGCATACTGTAAGGTAGATTAGACAGCAAATCCCAATGAATAAATGTCACTTATGCAGATTAAACCGCAGAGCTTTAAATACTAACAACGTTTGGAGCAGACAAATCCGTTGTTCAAAGCAGACATCATGAATAACTTGATTTTCTTCTCTATGCATATTCATTCTTATAGCGTGGAACTGATTGCTGTGGAGGCTGATTTCTCAGAAAGGTATAAAATATGCCTCGTGTAGGTGCCTCACACCTTCTACCTCCTGTTAACATGAATATTGCTATTTACGTATGGTGATTAGTGACCGTTAATCGATATTTATTTAGAAATCGTGAGATGCGGTCTGGTGTGATGTAAGTTTCAGAAAAACATTTTCTTTATCGTGCCAACGTTTNTCTTACGATTTCTAAATAAAAATTGCTATTTACGTCTAATTGATTAACACTGCGATTCACAAGTAGATGAAAAGATGTATTTAGGAAAATATTGAACATTGAAAAAGTTTAGTAAAGACCTCTAATAAAATGTAAGTTATTCTTGTCATACAGGAGGGCTTAACGACCCCGTTGGGTGTCGCGGACATGGGGACAAACCACTTGGCAGTACTTCTTTCACACTATTTTCAATTAAAAATCCATGAGTTGTGCCCGGATTCGAACCCAGGACCGCTAGAGTGGCATACGAGTTTTTAAAAGACGTCGAAGGATCACGATCATGGTTTATGACTAATAAAATCCCGGTCTATATTAAAAATTCCATTATTTCTTTTTATACGAAAATTTTCTATACTCTAATAAAATAAGGCAATATTCTAATTGGAATTAGCCGAGGGTGAAATACACAAAATTTGGCCCACTGATTGAACGTTTGTACGAATTACAACCCACACTGTGAGATAAGAATAAAAATTACTTTTAAACAGCGTATCATTTGTTCTGCTATCTTCTCTGGGGTATTGTTTTCGTTGTTCCCCAATTCAAAGTCTAATTAATTTTCTTCCGAACAACAATTTTGTTTAATTGACTTATCTCATCGCCATTGTCCCGAAGTTTTCTATTAAGGTTTTTCCCCCGTTATATCTGTCACAATTGAGTGAAATTCCTTTGTTCACCAGGGCGTAATAAAATACAATGAAATTATATTTAGTCAAGTTAGTTTAGTAAATTTCACAACCTACGTGTCCCACGTGTCTCTTTACAAATGGTCAAACTGTTTCTACAAATGTAATCCAGTTTCCGCCCTGTAACAGATTAGTAGTCGTTTGATAAAGTTGTGATCACATTAGGTTTAAAAACAGCACCTACAGTCCTCTTGGAGAAGACCTTCGACACCTACGGCAGGGAGGTCCTCAAGGCTCAATCCTTAGTCAAACATTACTCTCCGCTTGCCAAAGTGCTATAGCCAAAATCCCGTCCTGTCAACTGGTATACGCTGATAATATTTTTCCATGAAATGTATACGAATTCACATGTATTCATCTTTCAGATTATCGTTAGGTTTGTTTCATACGTTTCATGGCATCGTTATTTATTTTTTTATTTTATTTTTTTTTCAATAATTCGACATATCGAAGTTTCATACTTCAGGGTATCGCTAATTTTGCTTCTTTACATCAAGGAATCGAGTACTTTTGTTTCGATACGTCAAAGTATACTTTAGTTGCGTATTGCCAGAATTTCAATACTTCTGAATTGTAATTCGGGTTATCGTTACTTTTGTTTCCATATTTCAGAGTATAGCTACTTTTGTTTCGATAAGTCAACGTATCGATTCTTTCGTTGTTTTGTCAGAATTTCACTAATTGTGAATGGTAATTCGGGTATCGCTACTTTTTTTTCCATATTTCAGGGTATTGCCACTGTTTTCTATAATTCTGTGTATTGCTGCTGTTCTTTTAATATTTCAGGTAATCGTTACGTTTGTTTTTATATTTCAGGGTATTGCTACTTTTCTTTCATTTATTCAAGGTATCGCTACTTTTGTTGCGCATTGCCAGAATTTCACTTATTCTGAATCGTAATTCTGTTATCGCTGTTTTGTTTCAACAATTCAAGGTATCGATATTTTAGTTTCTATACTTCAGAGTATCGATAATCTTGTTTCCATATTTCAGAGTATTGCTACTTTTCTTTTCAATATTTCAGGTAATCGTTACGTGTGTTTCCATATTTCAGAGTACTTTTGTTTCAATAATTCAAGGTATCGCTAATTCTGTTTCCATATTTCAGGGTATAGCTCCTTTTGTTTCAATAATTCAAAGTATCGACACTTCTGTTTCGATATTCCTAAATTTTGATGCTTTCTTTCGACACGATATCGATATTTTTTGGGATATGTCAGAAGAATATCCTTGTTTTGAGTCTTAAGGTAATCGATGCTTTTTTTGTTACTTGGCGGCATCGATACGCCAAAATTTCAGGAAGGTTTAAGTTCTGATAACTTTTTAATTCTACTCCTAGTGCGATTGTCATTAATATTGATACAAAACTTCAAAAGAATAATGCGCATAATACTAGACTATTTCCGAATCGATAATTTAGGATATACCTCCTTTTCTGACATTTAATTCAAAATATCGTCATTTTTATTAGATTTAGTTGAATTTATTTAATCTACCCGTTTATAAACCTCAGCATATGGTTTTTTTAATATTTCCAACAGAATAGTAGTGCAATAACTTTTTAAAAATCTGAGGTTTATTTTGTACACCTAATTTAAATTAGGTAAATCATCCAACGGAGATGATATTATAGTGCTAAAAGTTTTTTTTTTTTTACTTTCATCAATTATATATTAAATTGAAATATTTATTATCACGCGAACTGTGGTAGTGGACTTTACTAAGGGGTTTCGGAGGCCCTCAACATTACACGTAATGAAGATGGATAAGATATATACCAATACAAGGGTCAAGAGAAAATACTTTAAAAAGACAAAGGGTTTACAAATTGCACATCACATTAGCAACTGAAAATAAAAATTGCTAAAGAAACTATTTTTGTATTGATATTTCGTTTGTTACAAAAAACTCATATGGACTTAAAAAATTTAGGTATAAAAATCATGTGAATCACACAAGTCAAGGAAATGGAGAAAATGTAGTGTTAAATTCGTTAAGATGTTTAATATTTTGATCATAGCTCAAAACAAAAACGTGCCTACAAAAATTCATTCATTGAAGTGCTATTGTTATGAATGCGGTTTTACAAAGACGACATCCCACATTTTTCGAATATGGGAACAATATTATTCGTGCAGTGGGTATCTTCAACTACGGAATTTCTTTATCATGCCATATTTACTTCACTTCCACCGCGCATAAGGAACTTTTCGGATCCAGCTTCAGATGCATTACTATATGGGCAGCGACGATTCAGTTCATTTATTTCGTTTTGGGATTTTATTATTGTATCGACGACATCATAGAACTGTCGCCGATCGGTTATGAAATAAGAGTAGGAATACTGATTTTCAGAGACTACCTCGGTGAAACACTGGCTTTTCCCTTATCTGTACTCGTCCCCATCTCCTTCTGGAGCGTATACACTTTTAAAGGCGAATGGCTGCCCGTCAACGAATTGGCCACCATACCGTTCTGGCTCCATCACATGTTGCACACTGTCTCTTTCCCCCTCCAAATCCTTACCATCGCATTCGATTCGAATGCAAACACAGAAACGTTAGAAGGTACATTCTGCATTTCGTTTTTTTACATATCCTACTTCATCTGGTTATTGCACATTCAAAACCAAACGCATGAGTGGGTCTACCCGGCACTGAACTCGTCGTCCACGTTAATAAAAGTTGTATTGAGTGCGACTATTTTGACTGGTCATTTCGCATTGTACGCGTTCGGAAAGTGGCTGGCGACCACATTTTGGGGCAGAAGAAGGAGAAGAATACGATGGAGTAGGCACAACAGCAGTATCCAATAAAATAAACGTCCTTATTCTTACTGTCGAATCATTTTTAATAAAAGAAAAATGGCCATCTGATGACTTTAATTTTAGCAAATGTTCTGTCGCTAATATCATTGTGTTGCAGTGATAACGTAATCGGAATGTCATTCTCGTGTTGGAACAATAATTTATTCAATTTCTATCGTCTAATATACCAAATAAAGTAAGCCTCTGGAAAAAGCGACCTATACCTTCGAGTCAAACAATGTACGTAATCCATCTACATGTGTCAATGTAATAGTCGTCCGTTTCTTTCAAATACAATACAATACAACTTCATCAATTATTACGTATTACCTTCATTGGAAGTTCCTCCCATAGAAAGAAACCCGCCATTGTACTAGTGACTGAATCAGTGTATTGACAGCGGATCGCTAGCGGTCGTCAGATCAATGTCAAAGTACCAATAGGTTTCTCAGATCCTCTAAAACTTATGTAAACACTAAAACCAACTTAAATCACCCTATGAAACATCTCGACTTGTCTTGCTAAGCCTTCATAGTCAGGGAGCTGTTCTTCTCGGCGTTAACATAATAAATTTAATAATTGTAGCACCACTTGCAACCTTGTCACTCACAAAAAGGAGAACGAGGTATTGCCGGTCTCATGGTAATGTCGGTCAAACCACAAATTTAATAAACATGCTAACAATTGACAAAAAATAAATTATTGTAGCACCTGAAACTGGAACAATTTTCCTATTGAATCACAAAGCTCACAACTCTTTAACTCAACCTTGGAACACGGAGTAATGTCTAGAAGGCAATACCTCGTTTTTACCTATTTAGTATCACAGGCTATATATTAAGTACTTGTTCATAAAACAACCTTACGTTCGTTATAATCAGCCAATAAATTGTTCCCTATTTGGTTCTTTTTCTTCTTGCTTTGTACTAACCCTGAATAGTCAAGATGGGTATTATCGACGATGAACAGAATGGCAAATTTGACTCTACCTTGCGTAACAGCATCCAACGGAGGTATATGTTACGGATATACTACAAAGTTCAGCAGTTCTTTGTTATGACTCCAATTAAGTTATCACAAAGTTTCTCTGTCCATCACAGCCACATATTTGGTTGGTGATTCCAAGATATTTCTCTATTATCAAACGGTATTCGTTTTTCCGGTGAGAATACGTAAGGTGATATCTGCACTGGCATGGTATGGTATGGTGATAAGGATACTAGTAAGCAGGCACTCCCAGGCACTGTAGCCTTCAGGCTTATTGTACCTTCCTAACTCCTTAGTTCAGTGCAATAGCCTCAATCGTTCTCCTTAAAAGTATCAGGTCATTGACTGTCGCTGCTACAATTTCATTTCCTAAGTTTTTTTGTATGTTAGGTTGAATCTCCATTGAGCTGTTGCTTCGCAGTAGAAGATGATATGGGTGGATGTTTCCTCCTCCTCATTACATAATCTGTAGATGGAATCTTCCTTATATAAGCCCATGTTGTGTGGATGTTTTCTCAGATGCCAGTGAACGGTTAGTAGTCCTATCACTCCTCTGAGTTTAGTCTTCTCCAGTTGCAGCAGTGATTTTGCCAGTCTTGGTGAGGGTTGTTTCATCATAAGTTTACTGTGACTAGCACCGCTAGAGTTTATCTACTTCTCCTTTTGTTTTGTTTGGATCCATTCTGCGATGGAGGATTCTATATTTGTTTTTTCTATGTTGTTGCTTGATAAATACTATTGTTTTAAGACTCAAAGGACCTAGGGGAAAAGTCACAAGACACTTTCTTGTGATATTCCTGCAATGATCTTCTTAAGCTCAGAGTAAGCAGTATCTTACTTCATTCTAAAACACCATCATACCATTCCACCATACCATAGAAATGAAGAATTTCGAAATTTCAAAAATTGGGTTAATACTTCAAGAGCGTTGTGCAAGACATAATTTTCTTTTAGCAACTTGTCTATTATTTATAAGTCTGTGAACCTTGATGAACTGGCACTGGGTTTCTTAATTGGGTTCGTCTACAGGGTTTCTGTTATTCAAACTCGTTTCGGCTCTGGCCTAGAAGAGCTCCTCACTGAAGACGGCGCAAAGCCGAAACATGCATATATGGATGTAAACCTCTGTGACCCCCGGCCCGAATTCAAGAGTTGGATTTGTACTTTTAATGGGTTCATTTTAGTGCAAGTTTTTGAACCGGTTTCGATAATACAGGTAGGGCGGCGGGCCAGTAGGAGGAAACTTCATATGGCGGATTGCCAGGTTTAGGGGATCACTATGACCTCTCCTACTTTCCACATCACCAGTACATACTTCAGTCTAAAAATTTCACCGGTTAAATTTGTCATTTACACTGTGACTTTCCTAGCAAATAGTTTCAAAAATATTCATAACATGAAAGGAATTTTGATTATTTAAAAGAAATACTTTTATAAGCTTTAGAAGAGACCGTTTTCTCAAAATCTAAAAGACTTTTTCATATGTACTTACAAAACTATAAAGTTCTAATGTCAAACACCACTCACCTGAAACAGAAATTTCAATAAATTAATCATTGCGTATGGACAATCATGATGGGAAGCAATGCTGTAGTGCTTGCCATATTATAAATTCTATAACTATTTCGTTGATGAAATTTTCTTTATTATTTTTGTATAGTGCGCTGCTTTGGCTTTATTGTTGATAAAATTAAATTTATTATTGCCATATAAGCTCTAAATCTGGCTGGATATGCATAACCTCAGAACCCTCTCTGCAAGAGGCATTTGGTATATAAAAAAATAACGACGATTTAAGAACTCTTCAAATATAAAAGACTCAGTACTCTAGGAATTCTTTCAACGTTAGGGCACCTTGTCTGTGCATATAAAACTTTCCTCGAGCTTAAACGAAGTCCAATAGCTCTCCAGAGACATGGCAAGTAACACTTATAAAGCGTAAGATTTGATATTGACTTTTCTTGAACAATAACGCCGTCGAATAAACGAAAACCTATTCTGAAAGGTGAAGAAGTTAGTCGAACTTTTTTGTAAGCTAGTAAATGTATGAAATAACACAATTAAGCTTAGAATTTTTCGAAAGGAAAGAAAATTTATTGTACTTATTGATAATTAAATAAAATTGGGAACATTTTCTTTCAAACTTTTTACCATTCAAGCAAACTATGCTAATTTTTTTAAATATTTTAAAGTCGAAATTTTTCAAAATAATAATTTGCATAACTGATCATACAAGAAAAAAATTTGTGGTACGCTGTTAAATTATTGCACACAATGTTTTTTTTTTGTGTAAACAACCACAAAATTGCAATACTCAACAGTCAGATTAACAGTAAAATACGGCTCACCGAAATGTGGAATCTCGTGATGAAGACACGAAAGGAAGTTCAACTAAAAGGAGAAATAAAAAAGAACCGGCCTGATTCGGATTTAGAACAACCGATAAGGCAATAAATTAACGAACCGCGAATCTGGCCGAAAGGTGATTACAGAGAGAATATCGATCAGAGGGATTGTAGAAGAAACTATAAATCCGTTATTTAAACTTGAATATGTCACGACGCTTTAAACAAGCTTAACCAAATTGGTTGGATCAGCAAAATGTGGATTTGCATATATTCGGGCCAAATTTTGCAAATAATATATCGCTTTGGAAATACTACTCCCGGGAACATATAGGTCTGTTTAAACATGTTGAAAGATATCCCAATAAATAAAACTTCAGTCCAACTTGAATATTTAAAATTATAAAAATCAATTAGTTAAAAATTCGCTTTTTTGTGAAATTTCCTCCTGTGGTCTGGTCTGCGAGTGATAATCCTATACAACTATCTGGTCTACCTATCCTCCCTGATTTTCTGCAGTCAGACGTCTAGGCAGAGAGTATCAAACTATTCGCTTTTTATTGTAATGCTTTCAGGAAATAGCATATACTTAATAACATAATACAACTGGAAATGTAGAGTTAATTATTAAACAACTGGAGCGAATATAATATCAGGATGATTGAAAAAATTCCCACCACCGTAATTCAGCCCGTCGGGATAGATACTAATATAAGTTTTATGTAACGATTACACATAATAAACATGCACAATGTAATGTAATAACGTTTTTGTGTTATCTCGGTCACAATGCGGGGAAAATCTCCTGTGAAAAAGATATAATAGTTAACGATTAACATAATTTTCCACGAAGAAAAAACTTGCGCATTACGTATATCAGATATCACCTGAGATATTAAAAATGCATAAAATAAACAAAGGGAAAAGTGAATCCATTAGACTCTTTTATTATTTCTTGTTATACATAATTTACTCTATTTAGCCTTAGTTAGTTATTTTTTAGTAAAAATAACAAAAAAAGCTTTCTCATATAATGTTTAATGCAGAAGTATTCCAATCAATTGAGATTTTTTTCAGAGCAAGAGTGATATTCTTCACCGGAAAGGCTTTTTTTACGACGTGCCTCAGTATTTACGAGGCAAAGTGGGGGAAATATATTTCAGTGGATTTATCGCTCTAGTGAATTCTTGTATGGTTTAATTATGGTGCCGTCGGCCGGGTGGAACGACGAAAGGTCGCAAGGTGGCTAAAATATAAAGATTTCGGGGTTGTTCCCTTTTTTTTCTGGTCGAACCGACTGCTCGTTCCCCTCCGCATGGCGACCTTGCACGTCTTCCCTAGTAACAGTCTGATAATTTCGTGCATCGATGTTTTTGGTAACGAACTCTCCAGGAAAAATGGATTTAAATAAGAAAAGCGCTTCTATTTAATACCCGTTGTGTATACTGTCGGCGATGGAGGGAGATACTGGCATGGGGCCTGGAAGGCTCTAGCGCAGAGTATCGATCCCACAAGGCACCTACCTTACCGCCCGCTTACCTTACCCTTTAACTTAAATTGAATACCTCGTATAGCTTGGTAAATCCTAGGGAAAACCCGGTGGAAATTTCCTTTTGAGATATTTCGAAGAAGTTGATTTGGAATCGAATGTCTGAAGGGTTTTCTTATAAACAGGTGCTTAAGTTATTTATAAAGCAAGTGTAAAGTATTGGAAAGTTTTGTCTG